TTTGCCAATAGAAAATAATGTGCTCTTTGTCGTACAGAACTCTGTATTGCCTCTGGGACTTTGTGCATTCATAAAACATCTTATTAACATTTAAAGAATTATTAGAATATCATCTGATTTAAAGTTTCAACAAAATACATTTCATCTGTGACATGGAGACGCGGGGGACTAAACCAGGTCTAAACCAGGTCTAAACCAGGTCTAAACCAGGTCTAAACCAGGACTAAACCAGGACTAAACCAGGACTAAACCAAGAAAAAAACACAGGACTAAATCAGAAGTGGACTAGGGCTACACCAGGACTAACCCGAGACTAAACCAGGTTAAACCAGGTCTAAATTAAACCAAGACTAAACCAGGACTACACTAGGACTAGACTAGGACTAAACCAGGACTAAATAGGGTCTCTATTGCCACTATGAGTTTGTGCATTCGTACATGAGTTTACAGACACAGACACGAGGAGAACATCTTAAAAGCTTTTAAACAAAATACATTTCCTCTGTGGCGATGGAGACGCACGGAGATGTGGGCGTGGCTTAGGCCCTGAAGTGGCGGTGGGCGGGGTCAGCGTGGCGCGTGGTGATTTTTGACCCCGTTTCCGACCTCATGGCTCGTGGGGGATTCCTATGCTCTGAAACTGGCTCTTCTCAAAACGAAGCAGCCGTTTGTCCTGAGACCTGTGTTTTTTTTATTTTTTTATTTAAACATAATGACAACAAACAAAGATGAGCCCAGGGCCCGGGACCCAGAGGAGCCTCCAGGGGCCCAAAGGAGCCTCCAGGGGCACAGAGGAGCCCAGAGGAACCTCCAGGGGCCCAGAGGAGCCCAGAGGAACCTCCAGGGGCCCAGAGGAACCTCCAGGGGCCAGAGGAGCCCAGAGGAACCTCCAGGGGCCCAGAGGAGCTCAGAGGAACCTCCAGGGGCCCAGAGGAGCCAGAGGAACCTCCAGGGGCCCAGAGGAGCCTCCAGGGGCCCACGCATTTTAGAAAACTGAAAATGAGTTTAAGTTCTCAAAGAGACAAGACAAGGACAGAACTTCTGCTGATACTGGACCAGATCCAACCAACTGTAAAGACTGAAGCTAAACCAGGACTAAACCAGGACTAAACCAGGACTAAACCAGGACTAAACCAGCTCTAAACAGTAATCCCTGTTTAGAGCTGGTTTAGTCAAGAACAAGAACTAAACTAGGACTAAATAGGAACTAAACTAGAACTACGTCAGGACCAGACCAGGACTAAACCAGAACAAAAACAGGACTAAACCAGGACTAAACAAGAACTGACCCAGGACTAAACCCTGATCATTCGCCCACACAAACAGTTTACAGTCGCGAGTCGGTCCAGCACCAGCAGGGGGCGCTGTACTTTCACTATTAAAGTACTGTAACACGTCACATGGCCGACACCTGGTGGCAGAAGTGCAGAACTGCAGCTCCACTACATTTTTCCTAAAACGTCTAAAGCTACAGAAAGTTCAGATCACACGACTCGAGTCAGATAGAAAAGTATTCACACGGACATGGCGACGGCGAGAGGAATCTGAAGTACTAACAAGAATAGTAGTAGTAGTAGTAGTAGTAGTAGTAGTAGTAGTAGTAGTAGTAGTAGTAGTAGTAGTAGTAGTAGTAGTGGTGCTTGCAGTAGCGGGACACTGGAGTAAACATTACACTCAGGACGTCTGACACTTCTACTTCTTATTTTGGTTTTGTGTTTTCACTTTTGACTTTTTTTTTTTTCTACGTCACAAAAACTATTTTCCGACGGTTCTAAAATGCGTGAAGACCCGGACCGTCCCCCGCCCAAACCCAGACCAGACCGGGACCAGACCGGGACCAGACCGGGACCAGACCGGGACCAGACCAGGACCAGACCAGGACCAGACCGGGACCAGATCAGACCAGACCAGACAAGACCAGGACCAGACCGGGACCAGATCAGACCGGGACCAGATCAAGAACAAGACCAGGACCAGACCAGGACCAGATCAGGACCAGATCAAGAACAAGACCAGGACCAGACCGGGACCAGACCAGGACCACGGCCGGAATTCAGAATCACTCTGACGCAAGGACTAAACCAGGACCAGACCAGGTCTAAACCAGGACTAAACCAGAACAAAAACAGGACTAAACCAGGACTAAACTAAACTAAACCAGGACTAGACCAGGACTAAACCAGGACTAAACTAGGACTGGACCAGGACTAAACCAGGACTAAACTAAACCAGGACTAAACCAGGTCCGTGGGTGTGTTCTAGTTCTTTTTGCTCTAGAATGTTCTAAATGTTCTAAAGATTCTAAAGATGCAGTTTCAGATGTAAGAACATGATTCTGAGTTCGGGTCGTTCAAACCCTGTCGGTCGGTCGTGGGTTTTTTTCTGCGGCGGGAAACTCTAAAAGTCTAAAACTCTAAAAGTCTAAAGCTCTAAAAGTCTAAAAGTGTAAAAGTGTAAAACGGTGAAGACGACACAAGCACAAACCCGGAGACTAAACTAAGACTTCAGCTACAGCTCTACCACAGCGACCGCGAACACTTTCACTGCACGACCGGGACGACACGACACGGAGGCGTTAGCGGTTAGCACTTTAGCATGTTAGCGCGTTAGCATGTTAGCACGTTAGCGCGTTAGCATGTTAGCACGTTAGCGCGTCTTCCTGCTCCGGAGGCTACACAGATTATTTGCTAATACTGGTTATATAATTTTTCTCTAATGCTCGGTGAAGTCACGGCGCTCACGTTCACGGGACACTCGGGGGGTTAATATTTCTCCGTAAGAAACCGTAAAAAGCGTTTTTCAGACGTAAAACCGGGGGCGCGGGAAATGGACACGGTTAGCGACGTTTATTTTATGTATTTTTTTTTGCGAATGACTCGAGACGATCACGATACGAAAAAAGAAAAGAGAGAGAAAGAGACAGACGGAAGAGCCAGAGACCAGGACGGCGCCCGAAGGATCCCAGCGGGGAGTCGGCGGCGCCCCCTGTGGACGCCGGAGGAACAGCAGGTCTCGCTAAAATATCGTTTCTTTCTTTTCTTTTTTTTTTTTCTTTTTTTTTTTTTTTAGACAAAGCAGAAGCAGAAGCGAGAGGCAGGACATGGGATAAACCCGTCCACAAAGTTCGTCGCACTTTTCTCTTCCACGTTTCTGCAAATCAGACAAAAAAAAGGACAAACCGCAAGTTTTTTTACCTTTTTTTTTTTTTACTTCAGATGCCCTTCCTGTCGAGAAAAAACAAATGCAGTGTTTTTCCCGATGGACGAGTGGAAACAAATGGGCATTTTTTTCTGTGTAATTTTTTTTGTAATTTCAAACATTTTCTTTCTTAATTGTGTTTTAATCTTTGGTGCAAACATCTCATTATTATTTTTGTCAAATTTGTATTTTGAGGTCACAGAAACAAGGTTTGGGACGACACATGGGCCACGTTTACATGAGTTTTTTAAATTCTGAATTAAATATTTCTGAATTAAGATGTTCTCCTTCGAATTTACGTGGAAATAATAATTCTGAATTGAGGTTTAGATGGAAAACTCGTTAAATCTCCTTTTTTAATTCCTCTCAGTATCTGGGGAAGGGTCCTGATTGGATCATGGTCCAAACCTGGTACCAGGTCCAGGTCTAAACCAGTTCAGATCCTGCTCTAAATGGGTTCAGATCCATGTCTAAACTGGTTCAGATTCTGGTCCAAAGCTTGTACCAGGTACAAGTCTAAACAGGTTCAGATCCAGATCTAAACCTTGCACAGAGTCTTGATCTAAACAGGTTCAGAATCTGGTCTAAACCAGCTCAGATCCTGCTCTAAACCTTGAACCAGGTCCAGGTCTAAATGGGTTTAGATTCTGGTCTAAACCGGTTCAGGTCCAGGTCTAAACCGGTTCAGATCTGTGTTTAAACCTTGTGCTGGGTCCAGGTCTAAACCGGTTCAGATTCTTAACTAGAACTAGTGACTGGACTTTTTAAAGCTGAATTCATTTTTATTCAGAATTGTATTTTTTTTTTAAATTCAGAATTAAAATTTTGTATTCAGAATATATATATATATATATATATATATATATATATATATATATATATATATATATATATACATTTTTTTTTTTTAATCAGAATTATTATCTTTTGTTATTTAGAAATATTTTATTTTATTTTTTTATTGAAGCTCTCATGTAAACGTGGCAGATGAGAATAAAACCCTTTTTCCATCTTGGTTTTATATATATATAATATTTTTTGGAGGTACCGTCCCTTTAAGAGCTGATCTGCACAAACGTTAAACAGAAACGTCTTCTTCTTGTTTTCTTTTTTTCTCAGTCTGTTGTTTCCGCTGCCTCGTGTTTGTTTCCCTCTGCCCGGGTGGAATATTCCGTCATATGTATATATATATATTTAATATTTGGGAGTGTAGGTCCGGATGGCGGCACACGCACACACTGACACAGACACAGACGGGACGGCCTCCGCAGAGTCTGCCGCCGCACAGCACGGTCACCACTGGGTTTTTAGGTTTTTACCACAATTTTTTCTCTTAAAACGTCCCCGGAAAAGGGTTCAAAAATGATCCGAAACTGGAGTCAGTACAAGCTCCAAAACTATCCGGTAAAACGACGCCGGAAGAGTCGTCCAGGAAACCGGAACGGGGACAGAAATGACGGTTTTGTCGGACATTTTGCGGGATACTTGGCTTGAGAGAGAAAATGGCCGTCGGGGGGTTTCACATTTAAATATTTTCAAAGTAAAAGCAAAACAGGAGGGATTTTCAAAGATCAAATTTGCGGCTCCTCGTTTCTTTTTTCCGAGCGTCCGGAAGAGCGAGAATCCTGGAGGAAAAGGAGCGGACGTCCAGGCGGGTGGAGGTTTGGAGGAGGGAGGTGGAGGTCCTCGTCTGCCCCAGGATGGTCTCTCCTCGGCCGGGTGCGACGGCGGCGGGCGAGGGCGGGGTCAGGAGGGCGGGGTCAGCAGGGCGGGGTCAGGAGGGCGGGGTCGAGAGGGGGCGGGGTTGGGCGGTGCTACTGGTAGGAGCCGAGCTGGAAGTCTTTGGGCGGGAGTTTGAGGCCGAGCGAGTTTGTTCCCAGAGGATCGATCATGTTCTTGTAACGTTCTCCGCGGTGTTTCATGAGGAACGGACCCCAGTCGGGCTGAGGAGCACACACCAACTTCAGACGCTGCAGGACACAAGAAGGAGAAGAAGAAGAAGGGAGGAGGGAAAGGAGAAGAGGAAGAGAAGGGAGGACAGGAGAGAGACGAGAGAAGGGGGAAGGAGAAGAGAGACAGAAGTAAAGAGGAAGGAGGGAGGAGACAGGAGGGAAGAGGGAGGAGACAGGAGGAAGGAGAGAGGAGACAGGAGCAAGGAGAGAGGAGACAGGAGGAAAGAGACAGGAGACAGGAGCAAGGAGAGAGGAGACAGGAGGAAAGAGACAGGAGGAAAGAGGGAGGAGACAGGAGGAAGAAAAGAGGAGACAGGAGGAAGGAGACAGGAGGGAGGAGAGAGGAGACAGGAGGAAGGAGGGAGGAGACAGGAGGAAGGAGAGAGGAGGAAAGAGGGAGGAGACGGGAGGAAGAAAAGAGGAGACAGGAGGAAGGAGGGAGGAGATAGGAGGGAGGAGAGAGGAGACAGGAGCAGGAGGGAGAGACAGGAGAGGAGGAGAGAGGAGACAGAGGAGACAGGAGCAAGGAGAGAGGAGACAGGAGGAAAGAGACAGGAGACAGGAGCAAGGAGAGAGGAGACAGGAGGAAAGGGAGACAGGAGAGAAGGGAGAGGGAGGAGACAGGAGGAAGAAAAGAGGAGAAGAGGAGACAGGAGGAAGGAGACAGGAGGGAGGAGAGAGGAGACAGGAGGAAGGAGGGAGGAGACAGGAGGAAGGAGAGAGAGGAGAGAGAGGGAGGAGACGGGAGGAAGAAGAAGAGGACAGGAGGAAAGGAGGAGGAGATAGGAGGAGGAGACAGGGAGGAAGAGGGAGGAGACAGGAGGAGAGGAGGAGAGGAGGAGACAGGAGGAAGGAGAGGAGGAGGAGAGGAGACAGGAGGAGAGGAGAGAGGAGACAGGAGGAGGAGGAGGAAGGAGGGAGGAGACAGGAGGAAGGAGGAGAGGAGGAGGAGAGGGAGGAGACAGGAGGAAGAAAAGAGGAGACAGGAGGAAGGAGGGAGGAGGAAGGAGGAGAGAGGAGACAGGAGGAGGAAGGAGAAGAGGAGGAAAGAGGGAGGAGGAGACAGGAGGAAGGAGGGAGGAGACAGGAGGAAGAGAGAGAGGAGGAGAGGAAAGGGAGGAGAGGAGACAGAGGAGGAGAGGACAGGAGGAAAGAGGGAGGAGACAGGAGGAGAGAGGAGACAGGAGGAGGAGACAGGAGGAGGAGGAAGGAGAGAGGGAGGAGCAGGAGGAGGAGAGAGGAGACAGGAGGGAAGGAGGGAGGGAGGAGACAGAGGAGGGAGGAGAGAGGAGACAGGAGGAGAGGGAGGAGACAGGAGGAGAGGAGGACAGGAGGAGGAGGAGGAGGAAGAGAGGGAGGAAAGACAGGAGGAAGAGGAGACAGGAGGGAGGAGACAGGAGAGAGAGGAGGAGGAGGAAGGGAGGGAGGAGGAGGAGAGGAGGACAGGAGGAAGGAGGAAGGAGGAGGAAGGAGAAGGAGGAAGAGGGAGGAGACAGGAAGAGGAAGGAGGAGGGAGGAAGAGGGAGAGACAGGAGGAGGAGGAGGAGACAGGAGAGACAGGAGGGACAGGAGGAAGAAGGGAAAAAAGGAGGAGAGAGAGAGGAAGGAGGGGAGGAGGAGGGAGGAGGAACAGGAGGGAGAGGAGGAGGAGGAGGAAGGAGACAGAAGGAGGAGAGACGGAGGAGGACAGAGGGAGGAGACAGGGAGGAGGAGACAGGAGGGGGAGAGGAGGAGGAGGAAAGGAGGAGGAAGAGGGAGGGAAGAGGGAGGAGGAGAGAGAGGAGAGGAGGAGGAGGGAGGAGGAGGAGAGAGAGAGGAGGAGGAGACCGGGAGGAGGAGACAGGAGGAGACAGGGAGGAGGAGACAGGGAGGAGGAGGAGGAAGGAGGGAGGGACAGAGGAGAGAGGACGAGGGAGGGAAGGAGGAAAGAGAGGAGAGGAGGAGGAGGAGGGAGGAGGGGAGGAGGAGGAGAGAGGAGGTGAGGAGGGAGAGGAGACAGGAGGAGGAAGGAGGAGGAGAGAGAGGGAGGAGACAGGAGGAGGAAGGAGAGGAGGAGGACAGAGGAGGAGGAGACAGGAGGGAGGAGGAGGAGGAGACAGGAGGGAGGAGACGAGGGAGGAGGAGGAGGAGACAGGAGGAGGGAGGGAGGGAAGGACAGGAGGGAGGGAGAGGAGGAGAGGAGGAAGGAGGGAGGAGACATGAAAAAGTTTGTAAAGTTGTATGTTTTGTGTTGTGCTTTTTTCATTTGTCCAAAAAACTAAAGGGAGGATTTAATTTTTCTTTTTTCTTTTATTTTTTTTCTCTGTGTCTTTAGTCTTTAGCTCTTGGGCTTTTTAACGGTGTCAGAAACTGGACTAAACCAGATGAGAACCAGGACTGAACCAGGTCTAAAGCAAATCTGGGTCTGGTTTTGATCACTGGGTCAGGTGGGTCAGGTGGAGGTCAGGTGGGTCAGGGGGAGGTCAGGTGGAGGTCAGGTGGAGGTCAGGTGGGTCAGGTGGAGGTCAGGTGGAGGTCAGTTGGAGGTCAGGTGGGGTCAGTTGGAGGTCAGTTGGAGGTCAGGTGGGGTCAGGTGGAGGTCAGGTGGTCAGGTCAGTGGGGTCAGGTCAGGGAGGTCAGGTGGGTCAGGTGGGTCAGTGTGGGGTCAGGTGGAGGTCAGGTGGGTCAGGTGGAGGGTCAGGTTGGAGGTCAGGTGGGGTCAGTTGGAGGTCAGGTGGAGGTCAGGTGGGTCAGGTGGAGGTCAGGTGGAGGTCAGTGTGGGGTCAGGTGGAGGTCAGTTGGAGGTCAGGTGGGGTCAGTTGGAGGTCAGGTGGGGTCAGGTGGAGGTCAGGTGGAGGTCAGGTGGGGTCAGGTGGAGGTCAGTTGGAGGTCAGGTGGGGTCAGTTGGAGGTCAGGTGGGGTCAGTTGGAGGTCAGATGGGGGTCAGTTGGGTCAGTTGGGGGTCATTTGGGGGGTCAGCGTCGCGGCGGCCATCTTGAGGACCCGTACCTCGATGAAGGATCCGGGCGCCAGGTGCATCTTGATGACGAACATGATGGGGATCCAGATGACGGAGCAGATGACCATGAGCCAGCCCAGGACCATGGACCAGGTGGGATACGTGTAGTCCTCGTACGTCATCACCTTCCACTGGTACAGGCTCAGGAACAGGATGCCCTGCAGCACAGAACCGGGTCAAAACCGGGTCAGAAGCGGGTCAGAAACAGGACTAAACTGGATCAGAACCAGGTCTAAATCAGGTCAGAACCAGGTCAGAACTGAATCAGAAATAGGACAGAGGCAGAACAGAAAGAAGATGCCCTACAGCACAAAACCGGGTCAAAACTGGGTCAGAAAGAGGACTAAACCAGGTATAAACCGGGTCAGAAACAGGATTAAAACCAGGTCAGAATCAGGTCAGAACCAGGTCAGAACCAGGTCAGAACCGGGTCAGAAACAGGTCAGACACGGGAATAAACCAGATCAGAACCAGGTCTAAATAAGGTCAGAACCAGGTCAGAACTGGGTCAGGAACTGGACTAAACCAGATCAGAATCAGGACTGAACCAAGTCTAAAGCAAGTCTCGGTCTGGGTCTGAGTCTGGGTCTGGGTCTGTATCTGTATTTAACTGTTCTGGTGGTTCTGGTGGTTCTGGAGGTTCTAACGTGTGTGTGGCTCTGGAGGTTCTAACGTGTGTGTGGTTCTGGTGGTGGTTCTGGTGGTTCTGGAGGTTCTAACGTGTGTGTGGTTCTGGTGGTTCTGGTGGTTCTGGAGGTTCTAACGTGTGTGTGGTTCTGGTGGTGGTTCTGGTGGTTCTGGAGGTTCTGGAGGTTCTGGCATGTGTGTGGTTCTGGTGGTTCTGGAGGTTCTAACGTGTGTGTGGTTCTGGTGGTTCTGGAGGTTCTAACGTGTGTGTGGTTCTGTGGTGGTGGTTCTGGAGGTTCTGGCATGTGTGTGGTTCTGGTGGTGGTTCTGGAGGTTCTGGAGGTTCTAACGTGTGTGTGGTTCTGGTGGTTCTGGAGGTTCTGGAGGTTCTGGTGTGTGTGGTTCTGGTGGTGGTTCTGGAGGTTCTGGAGGTTTCTGGCATGTGTGTGGTTCTGGTGGTGGTTCTGGAGGTTCTGGAGGTTCTACGGTGTGTGTGGTTCTGGTGGTTCTGGAGGTTCTGGAGGTTCTGGCGTGTGTGTGGTTCGGTGGTTCTGGAGGTTCTGGAGGTTCTGCGTGTGTGGTTTTGGTGGTTCTGGAGGTTCTGGAGGTTCTGGCGTGTGTGTGGTTCTGGTGGTTCTGGAGGTTCTGGCGTGTGTGTGGTTCTGGTGGTTCTGGAGGTTCTGGAGGTTCTGGAGGTTCTGGCGTGTGTGTGGTTCTGGTGGTTCTGGAGGTTCTGGAGGTTCTGGCATGTGTGTGGTTCTGGTGGTGGTTCTGGAGGTTCTGGAGGTTCTAACGTGTGTGTGGTTCTGGTGGTTCTGGAGGTTCTAACGTGTGTGTGGTTCTGGTGGTTCTGGAGGTTCTGGAGGTTCTGGCATGTGTGTGGTTCTGGTGGTGGTTCTGGAAGTTCTGGAGGTTCTGGCATGTGTGTGGTTCTGGTGGTTCTGGAGGTTCTGGAGGTTCTGGCGTGTGTGTGGTTCTGGTGGTTCTGGAGGTTCTGGAGGTTCTGGCGTGTGTGTGGTTCTGGTGGTTCTGGAGGTTCTGGAGGTTCTGGCGTGTGTGTGGTTCTGGTGGTTCTGGAGGTTCTGGAGGTTCTGGCGTGTGTGTGGTTCTGGTGGTTCTGGAGGTTCTGGAGGTTCTTTGGGTGTGTCTGGTTCTGGCGTTTTGTGGTGGTTTCTGGAGGTTCTGGAGGTTCTGGCGTGTGTGTGGTTCTGGTGGTTCTGGAGGTTCTGGAGGTTCTGGCATGTGTGTGGTTCTGGTGGTGGTTCTGGAGGTTCTGGAGGTTCTAACGCTGTGTGTGGTTCTGGTGGTTCTGGAGGTTCTGGAGTTCTGGAGTGGGTTTCTGGAGGTTCTGGAGGTTCTGGCGTGTGTGTGGTTCTGGTGGTTCTGGAGGTTCTGGAGGTTCTGGCGTGTGTGTGGTTCTGGTGGTTCTGGAGGTTCTGGAGGTTCTGGCGTGTGTGTGGTTCTGGAGGTTCTGGAGGTTCTGGAGGTTCTGGCGTGTGTGTGGTTCTGGAGGTTCTGGAGGTTCTGGCGTGTGTGTGGTTCTGGTGGTTCTGGAGGTTCTGGAGGTTCTGGTGTGCATGTGGTTCTTACCGTGAGGATGGTCGGGGTGACGAAGGCCCAGCAGAGTCTCCAGAAACGGTTTGGCTGAAATCCGACCATCATCTCGATGTCCTCACAGAACCTCTGCAGACCTGAGGAGAACATCGGAGTCAGTTTGTTTTAAATGTCCCACAATCCTCTCAGCTTTTTTTTTTTTTTTTCCAGCTCTGGAGTCGCTGATCTCGACTGAACTAAAGAGAAAAGGTTTTACTCTGAGCGGCTCGCCTCTCCACAGATCTGACTGTAAGTTCATCTGTTGTTGTTTTACGCTCGTCTGAAAGAATGTGGAGTTAGAATTGTCTCAAAAAGATTTAAACAAATAAAAAATGATGAAGAGACAGATGATGGAGCGACGGACGATGAAGTGACAGATGATGGAGCGACAGACGATGGAGCGATGGACGATGGAGCGACAGATGATGGAACGACAGACGATGAAGCGACGCACGATGGAGACGACAGACGACAGATGATGAGAGAAGAGACGACCGATGGAGCGACGGACGATGAAGTGACAGATGATGGAGCGACGGACGATGAAGTGACGGACGATGAAGTGACGGATGATGGAGCGACGGATGATGGAGCGACGGATGATGGAGCGACGGACGATGAAGAGACAGATGATGGAGCGACAGACGATGGAGCGATGGACGATGGAGCGACAGACGATGGAGCGACAGATGATGGAACGACAGACGATGAAGCGACGCACGATGGAGCGGACAATGGACAGATGAGAGATGGATGAGAGCGACGGACGATGAAGTGACGGACGATGAAGCGACAGATGATGGAACGACAGACGATGAAACGGTGGATGATGGAGCGACAGATGATGGAACGACAGACGATGAAGTGACGCACGATGGAGCGACGGACGATGGAGCGATGGACGATGAAGAGACAGATGATGGAGTGAAGGATGGTGGAGCGACAGACAATGGAGCGACAGATGATGAAGAGACAGATGATGGAGCGACGGACGATGAAGACGATGGAGCGCATGGAAGAGAGACAGATGATGACAGACGATGATGGACAGCGACAGATGATGATGCGATGGACCGATGAAGGACGATGGATGACGATGGAGCGACGGATGGACGACAGACGATGATAAGACGACGACAACGATGGAGACGAAGACGATGAAGAGGCAGATGATGGAGCGACGACGATGAAGTGACAGACGATGAAGTGCGGATGATGGACGACGGACGATGGAGCGACACACGATGGAGCGACGGACATGAAGTGACGGACGATGAAGTGAAAGATGAGGATGCATGATGGAGGAGCGATGACGATGGACGATGGAGCGACAGATGATGGAACGACAGACGATGAAGTGACGCACGATGGAGCGACGGACGATGGAGCGATGGACGATGAAGAGACAGATGATGGAGTGAAGGATGGTGGAGCGACAGACAATGGAGCGACAGATGATGAAGAGACAGATGATGGAGCGACGGACGATTACGTGACGGACGATGAAGTGACAGATGATGAGCGACGGATGATGGAGCGACAGACGATGGAGCGATGGACGATGGAGCGACAGATGATGGAACGACAGACGATGAAGCGACGCACGATGGAGCGACAGACGATGAAGAGACAGATGATGAAGTGACGGACGATGAAGAGACAGATGATGGAGCGACAGACGATGGAGCGATGGACGATGGAGCGACAGATGATGGAACGACAGACGATGAAGCGACGCACGATGGAGCGACAGACGATGAAGAGACAGACGATGAAGTGACGGATGATGGAGCGACGGACGATGGAGCGATGGACGATGGAGCGACAGATGATGGAACGACAGACGATGAAGTGACGCACGATGGAGCGACGGACGATGGACGATGGAGCGACGCACGATGGGGCGACGGACGATGGTACACGATGACACACATTTGGCCCTAAAACGAGTGGAAATAAACGAAAACACTTTTGAAAAACTCTCACCGTAAAGATACGAGATTCCCACGAGCTCGAAGATGGCGATGATGACGAGAGAATACGACGCCGCAAACGTGTCCACCAACTGCAAGCATGTTTTACTCCCAGCTCTGAAGGAAAGGCGAGGAGAGAGGAAGAGGAGAGGGGTTAGAGGAGGAGGAGAGGAGGAGAGGAGGAGAGGAGGGAGGAGAGAGGAGGAGAGGAGAGAGAGAGAGAGAGAGAGGAGAGGAGGAAGAGGAGGAGAGGAGGAAGAGGAGGAGAGGAGGAAGAGGAGGAAGAGGAGAGAAGTAGATGGTGCAGAGGCTCATCGGTGCAGAGGATGACGTCATGCAGAGGGTTAGAAGAGGAGAGGAGAGGGTGCAGAGGAGCAGAGGAGCAGAGGAGCAGAGGAGCAAAGGATGAAGCAGAGCAGAAGATGAAGTGGTGCAGAGGAGGGGAGGAGCAGAGGGTGCAGAGGCTCATTGGTGCAGATGATGAAGAGGTGTAGAAGATGAAGCGATGCAGAGGAGCAGAGGGCGAAGACGAGGAGAGGAGATGGTGCAGAGGATGAAGCAGAGCAGAAGATGAAGTGGTGCAGAGGAGCAGAGGATGAAGAGCAGAGGAGCAGAGGATGAAGAGCAGAGGGTTAGAGGATGAAGAGCAGAGGGTTAGAGAGAAGAGGGTTGAGGATGAGAGCGAGGGATTAGAGAGAGGGAAGACGGGAGGATGAAGAGCAGAGGAGCAGAGGATGAAGAGGGTTAGAGGATGAAGAGCAGAGGGTTAGAGGAGGAAGAGGGTTAGAGGAGGAAGAGGGTTAGAGGATGAAGAGCAGAGGGTTAGAGGAGGAAGACGGTTAGAGGATGAGAGGGTTAGAGGATGAAGAGCAGAGGGTTAGAGAGGAAGAGGTTAGAGGATGAAGAGGGTTAGAGAATGAAGAGGGTTAGAGGATGAAGAGCAGAGGGTTAGAGGAGGAAGAGGGAAGAGGGTTAGAGGGAAAGAGGGTTAGAGGAGGAAGAGGGTTAGAGGAGGAAGAGGGTTAGAGGATGAAGAGGGTTAGAGGAGGAAGAGGGTTAGAGGATGAAGAGCAGAGGGTTAGAGGATGAAGAGGGTTAGAGGATGAAGAGGGTTAGAGGATGAAGAGGGTTAGAGGATGAAGAGGGTTAGAGGATGAAGAGGGTTAGAGGAGGAAGAGGGTTAGAGGATGAAGAGGGTTAGAGGAGGAAGAGGGTTAGAGGATGAAGAGGGTTAGAGGAGAAGAGGGTTAGAGGAGGAAGAGGGTTAGAGGATGAAGAGGGTTAGAGGAGGAAGAGGGTTAGAGGATGAAGAGGGTTAGAGGATGAAGAAGGTTAGAGGATGAAGAGGGTTAGAGGATGAAGAGGGTTAGAGGAGGAAGAGGGTTAGAGGATGAAGAGGGTTAGAGGAAGAGGGAGAGGGTTGAGATGAGTTAGAGGATAAGAGTTGAGGAGAAGAGGGAGAGGAGGTTAGAGGATGAAGAGGGTTAGAGGATGGAAGAGGGTTAGAGGAGGAAGAGGGTTAGAGGATGAAGAGGGTTAGAGGAGGAAGAGGGTTAGAGGATAGAGGAAGAGGTTAGAGAGAGGAGAGGAGAGGGGATGAGAGGGTTAGAGGATGAAGAGGGTTAGAGGAGGAAGAGGGTTAGAGGATGAAGAGGGTTAGAGGATGAAGAGGGTTAGAGGAGGAAGAGGGTTAGAGGATGAAGAGCAGAGGGAGTTAGAAGAAGAGGTTAGAGGGTTAGAGGATGAAGAGGGTTAGAGGATGAAGAGGGTTAGAGGAGGAAGAGGGTTAGAGGAGTAAGAGGGTTAGAGGAGGAAGAGGTTAGAGGATAGAGAGGATGAAGAGGGTTAGAGAGGGAGGGTTAGAGGAGGAAGAGGGTTAGAGGATGAAGAGGGTTAGAGGAGGAAGAGGGTTAGAGGAGGAAGAGGGTTAGAGGAGGAAGAGGGTTAGAGGAGGAAGAGGGTTAGAGGAGGAAGAGGGTTAGAGGATGAAGAGGGTTAGAGGAGGAAGAGGGTTAGAGGATGAAGAGGGTTAGAGGATGAAGAGGGTTAGAGGAGGAAGAGGAGGCTGACCTCGGTGATCATGGGGAATCCGAGGATGAAGAAGCAGACGCAGCAGACCAGAGTGAACAGAGGTTTGTGTTTCCTCAGATATTTGGGAAACTCGTCCGAAACTGACGTCACGATCGTCTCGATGGTGGCGAACTGGAACAAAAGGAACAGAACAATATGAGTTTACTTAAAACTGGAACAAAAGGAACAGAACGAGATGTGTTTACTTAAAATTGGAACAAAACTAGATGAGTTTACATAAAATTGGAACAAACGGAACAGAAGTTAACTTTAAAACTGGAACAAAACTAGATGACTTTACTTAAAACTGGAACAAAAGGAACAGAACAATATGAGTTTACTTAAAACTGGAACAAAGGGAACAGAACAATATGAGTTTACTTAAAACTGGAACAAAGGGAACAGAACAATATGAGTTTACTTAAAACTGGAACAAAGGGAACAGAACAATATGAGTTTACTTAAAACTGGAACAAAAGGAACAGAGCAATATGAGTTTACTTAAAACTGGAACAAAAGGAACAGAAGGAACACATGGAACAGAATGAGATGACCTTACTTAAAACTGGAACAAAAGGAACATAAGTTTACTTTAAAACTGGCACAAAAGGAACAGAATGAGATGTGCTTACTTAAAATTGGAACAAAAGGAAGAGAAGGAACAGAAGTTTACTTTAAAAATTATGACTTTACTTAAAATTGGAACAAAAGGAACAGAACAATATGAGTTTAATTAAAACTGGAACAAAAGGAACAGAAGTTTACTTTAAAACTGGAGATGATCTTACATATAACTGGAACAAAAGGAACAGAAGGAACAAAAGGAACAGAACGAGATGAGCTTACTTAAAATTGGAACAAAAGGAACAAAACTAGATTAGTTTACTTAAAACTGGAACAAAAGGAACAAAATGGGATGAGGTTACTTAAAACTGGAATAAAGGGAACAAAACTAGATGACTTTACTTAAAACTGGAACAAAAGGAACAAAACCAGCTGAGTTTACTTAACACTGGAACAAAAGGAGATGTTTTTAGACCCAAGGACAGATTTAGTTAAAACACCCCAAAGGAATTTGACCTTAAATGTTTAAAAACTCTCAAGATTTGACCCAAAATTCAGCCCTGGGAGAATTTTAAAAAATATATTTGTTCCGTGTTTGAGGGAAAAATGGGTCCGGGTCAGATCTGTGGAGCGGCGAGCCCACACAAACATTTGTGAAATCGAACTTCTGTAAGTGAACAAAGGGGAGGCGAGTGTGTCCGACAGCGCGGAACATTCAGACAAAGCACAAACTTCAGCGCGGAGACCAGCCACCGGAAAAGTTACACAGTGGAGCTTTATCTTGTCCATTACCCTCCCTGCGTCATAAAGTTCCCTCTGTTAAACTTCCTCCTCTTCGCTCTCAGACCCGCGGCTCCCTCCTGTTTCCCTCGTGCCTTTGGGCCAGACACTCAGCGGGACAGAAGCGTCGCCGCACGACGCAGCGAAGTGAATAACGACGCTAATCAGGTCACAGACGCGACTCGTAACCTCATTTACACCACACAACTTTACACAACTACAGATGTCCCCCTGTCCTCATGTCCCCCTGTCCCCCTGTCCTCCTGTCCTCCTGTCCTCATGTCCCCCTGTCCTCCTGTCCCCCTGTCCTCCTGTCCTCATGTCCTCATGTCCCCCTGTCCTCATGTCCTCATGTCCTCATGTCCCCCTGTCCTCATGTCCTCATGTCCTCATGTCCTCATGTCCCCCTGTCCTCATGTCCTCACTGTCCTCATGTCCCCTGTCCTCATGTCCTCATGTCCTCATGTCCTCATGTCCTCATGTCCTCATGTCCTCCTGTCCTCATGTCCTCATGTCGTCCTCATGTCCTCATGTCCCCTGTCCTCCTGTCCCTCCTGTCCTGTCTCATGTCCCATGTCCTGTCTCCCTCTGTCCCCCTGTCCTCATGTCCTCATGTCCTCATGTCTGTCCCCATGTCCTCATGTCCTCATGTCCTCCTGTCCTCCTGTCCTCCTGTCCTGTCCTGTCCTCATGTCCTCAATGTCCCTCATGTGTCCTCATGTCCCCATGTCCTCATGTCCTCCCATGTCCTCCTGTCCTCCTGTCCCTCCTCATGTCCCCTCTGTCCTCATGTCCTCATGTCCTCATGTCCCCTGTCCTCATGTCCCCTGTCCCCTGTCCTCCATGTCCTCTGTCCCCTGTCCCTCATGTCCCCCTGTCCTCATGTCCTCATGTCCCCTCATGTCCTCATGTCCTCATGTCTCCTGTCCTCCTGTCCTGTCCTCCTCCTGTCCTCTCCATGTCCTCATGTCCCCCTGTCCTCATGTCCTCATGTCCCCCTGTCCTCATGTCCTCATGTCCTCTCATGTCCTCATGTCCTCATGTCCCCCTGTCCTCATGTCCTCATGTCCTCATGTCCTCATGTCCTCATGTCCTTATGTCCCCCTGTCCTCATGTCCTCACTTCCTCCTGTCCTCACGTCCTCCCCGCGTGTGTCAGGTGCCCTCCTCGCGTGTGTCAGGTGCCCTCCTCGCGTGTGTCAGGTGCCCTCCCCGCGTGTGTCAGGTGCCCTCCTCTGCGTGTGTCAGGTGCCCTCCTCGCGTGTGTCAGGTGCCCTCCTCGCGTGTGTCAGGTGCCCTCCTCGCGTGTGTCAGGTGCCCTCCTCGCGTGTGTCAGGTGCCTCCTCGCGTGTGTCAGGTGCCCTCCTCGCGTGTGTCAGGTGCCCTCCTCGCGTGTGTCAGGTGCCCTCCTCGCGTGTGTCAGGTCCCTCCTCGCGTGTGTCAGGTCCTCCTCGCGTGTGTCAGGTCCTCCTCGTGTGTGTCAGGTGCCCTCTCCGTGTGTGTCAGGTCCCTCCTCGCGTGTGTCAGGTCCCTCCTCGTGTGTGTCAGGTGCCCTCCTCGTGTGTGTCAGGTGCCCTCCTCGTGTGTGTCAGGTCCCCTCCTCGCGTGTGTCAGGTCCCTCCTCGTGTGTGTCAGGTGCCCTCCTCGTGTGTGTCAGGTCCCTCCTCGTGTGTGTCAGGTGCCCTCACCATTGTGTCCAGTCCGAGGGTGAGGAGCATGAGGAAGAAGATAATGGCCCAAAATGGC